GGGAGGCTGAGGCAGGAGAATTGCTTGAACCAGGGAGGAGGAGGTTGCAGGGAGCCGAGATTGCACCACTGCACTCCAGTTGGGGCGATACAGCAAGACTCCATCTCAAAAAATAAAAATAAAAACAAAGAAAGAGCATTAGCTAAGTAGCCTCTACTCACAACTCTGAAGGATGAAACCAAGGATGAGAAAAAAAATTAAATGAAAGGAAAAGCAAACAAAAACATTAAATACTAGGCACTGCGACCCACTTGAACATACACAATCTTCACAATATCCAGGGAGAGATGTAGAAGAGGAGGCTCAAAGAGGTCCATGATTCGCTCAGTATTACAAAGCCAAACTCCAGAGTTCAGATTTGAATTTGAATCTGAATCTCGTCTGTCCAGTGCATGGGCAGCCCCTTCAATCAGCCAGTCAGCTGGTCTCAAACTTCCCAACAATGAAGCCCATGTCCTCAGTCCTTCCTGGCAGACTCACCTGTGAGCTGGAGGGCAGCACCTGGGAAGAGGGCTCCTCGGATGGGGCTGCTCCTGAGCCCATAGGGCTCAGTGTGGTGATCCTGCTCGGCTGGCCACGAAGTGTCAGAGTAATGGTGGTGGGGACCTTCAAGCCTGAGATAGAGAGAGAGAAGCAGTATTTTTGAGTCACACTCTCCACCTTCTGCTGAGGCTTTCCTTTCCTGGAGAGCTTCTCCCCCACATAACACAGTCCCTTGGCCTCCTCCCCAGCTGGGTCATCTATGCACTATCGGTCAATCTGAAAGGCAACAGGAAACAGCCTGTGTTCGCTCAACCTCTCTGGGGGATGGGTCTACACAGCGGAATCTGAAGGTCAATGCCAGGACCCTGTGGGACTGGTTTCAACATCACACCTTGCCCACATGAGATGGGAAGGTCCTCGGGGGAAGACCCCAGACCTGGGAGTCCCCACAGCTCTCATGAGACTCACCTGATGCTTGGTGAGAGATCTGAGCCAGGCCAGGGAGGCTGCTTGCCAACTTAGCGAGGCCCCCATTGGTCAGCAGCTGGTGGATGGCTGTGGGCTTCCCACCAGGAGTGGCACCCAAGGAGGAGAGAGTGGTGGCCACAGGAATGGTACGGACAATGGTGCTGGTGCCCGTGGTGATGGCACCCAGGCTCTGCATGGGGGTGGGCAACTTCACACTGGTGGCCTGTGGGACACACAAGCCCAGGTGATCAGAAGCTGTCGCCCAACAGCAACGTTCGAGTTTGGAGGGCCCACAGCATATTATTAAAGGCTAACATGTATTGAGTGCCTACTACATGCAAGGTACTCTTTCAGGCATTCTGCATATATTATTTCACTCTTACAACAACTCTATGAGGGAGGTACTATTATTACCTCATTTTATAGATAAGGAAACAAAAACAGAGTGGTCAAGAAACTTGCCCAAGGTCACACAGTAAATGATAGACCTTAACCTTTGGAAGTTCCCTGCTGTGTAGCTAGAAGGCTGTTTGTCCTTGACCCACTTGACTCCAGACCTAGTTTCCCTGCCAAAACCAACTGAGTTGAGGAGGCCTCCTCCCTACACCTGCCCAGCCCAGCAGATGGCAGATGTGCACCTGTGGGGCTGGTCCTGGGGAGGGATTTGCTGGAAGGCCAGAGGTCTTGCTGCTGATATCCTGTAAGCTGAAGCTGAGGCCTTGGAGGAGGCTGCTGGCTGATGTGGCCCCTAAGAGAGGACATAGCAGGAATCAGTAGAGACTCAATCACTTGCACTATCCCAAGAGCAGCCACATCCATCCACCCTCACCACCAACTAAAACACCAATGGTGCTTGCCCTTGGACACCCCCGTCCTCAGAAAGAAGGCAAGAAGGTCTCCCCAGCCAGGCACACACGCAGTGGATGCCACACAGGAAAGGTACTGTGCCAGACACTGCCCCGGATTTGCTCTGCACCTGCTGCAAACCATCAGTCATACATTTTGGGCCATTTTGAGAAATCCAAGTTTGTTCCTTTCTTTCCAGGGAAGAAGAACAACTTTTTAAGCCAAAAGAATTCTAAATACCCAACTTTCACTTCGCCTCACACAATCAAAGCAGAAAGGAAGTAGCCTCAAAGCAGTAAGAAAGGTTCTCTTAAAGGAGAAGGGTTTCTTTTTTTTTTTTTTTTTGAGACGGAGTCTTTTTTCGTTTCCCAGGCTGGAGTGCAATGGCGCAATCTCCGCTCACTGCAACCTCCACCTCCCGGGTTCAAGCGATTCTCCTGCCTCAGCCTCCCAGGTAGCTGGGTTTACAGATTCCCGCCACCACACCCGGCTAATTTTTTGTATTTTTAGTAGAGACGGGGCTTCATCATATTGGCCAGGCTGGTCTCAAACTCCTGACCTCAGGTGACCCACCCACCTCGGCCTTCCAAAGTGTTGGGATTACAGGCTTGAGCCACCGTGCCTGGCCAGGAGAAGGGTTTCTGCAATGCCTTGGCCCTGTTGGGCTCAGGCAACAGGTCTTTCAAAGTAGCGTTAGTGGGTAGGACAAAATGAGAGACAAGCACAGACAGAAAAATGTCTCATTTTGCTAATGCCCAGTGTAGCACCATTTCCAGTTTTATTCAGTCAGATGTCCTTAAAACAGCAAAATAAAACCATAGTCAGCCCTCAATTATCTGTGGGCTTCGCAGCAGATTTGCAGATTCAAATGACCACACGGATAGAAACCTGTAGATATGGAATGCCAACTGTATGACATAGTTTCATATAAGGGACTTGAGCATCCATGGATTTTGGTAGCGGTGAGGGTCCTAGAACCAATCTCCTGTGGATAAGAAAGACTGACTACACATATACGTCCTATCGGCTATTTCTCCTTACAGTAGAGGATACAGCACCTGTAGACTGGAACATTTAATCACCTGCAGACCAGGACATTTACTCACTGCATTTATTCAAGGCCAAGGAATCCCTCTGCCCAAGCTAATTCCAGTTTCACGTAAAGCCTCTATGATCACTCTAAGACCCAGAGGCCCATGCTGTGGATTCAGCTCCAGGGATGCTTTCCCAGGACCACCTACCAGCAGCAGACCAAAAATTCTGTGTTGGAAGGGGAGAATGCTGGGCCACAAGATACCTGGGAGGGAGCTGCCAGGAGAGGTGGCCACCAGGCGGCTCTGCAGTGTGTGCAAGGCACTGGGTGCAGTGCTGCTGGAGACCACTGAAGGGGCTGGGCTGGCTGAGACTCCACCTTCAGAAGAACTGGACCTGGAGACAAAGGAAGGAGCTCTGTTATCCAAAGGTCACAGGGCAGCAAGCCCTAGCAACACAGGCAGGGTACAGAGTGGGGCCCAGCAAGGCTTTCAGCAGCAGACACACACCGAGAATCTTCAGCTTCTTTGTTCCACTTTCTGAACCTGGCCTCTAGTCTTCTAAAAGTCCTTACTTACAGGACTTACAGCAAAAGGCAGGGGACACTTTGGAATCTGAAGTAAAAATGAACTCTGGGTTGACCCAAAAGCAAGACAAAGATCCCTATCAGAAGGAAGTCACATTTCCCAAACTGACAGAACCCAGAATCCATCATTTTCCAAAGCACTAAATGAACCAGAAGCAGAGGGAAGGGAAAAAAGAATAGACACAGATGGTCCAACAAACACTCACTTGGCTGTGGTGAGAAGTCCTGTGAGCTCCTTGGCCCCTGCTGAAGCCTGCCCCAGTGTCATGGTGATGGGCTTCCCACCTGCAGCTGTAAAACAGAGAACCCCAAGGCCCTGGTCAGTCCTATTTGGCCGCTACGTTTGCAGGTTCCACAGTTTAGGCTAAATGCAAGATATTACAGACAAGAACTGGAAGATGAAAAAAGATGAACTATGCTAGAGTAGAGAGAGTTGGGGTTTTTTCCTTCTATTTTCTAAACTTCCTGAAATATTCTGTACCTTTAATTGAAGCAAACAAAAAAAGAACAAAATATACGATGCTTTGAACTACGGCACAGCTTCCTCTCGTATTCTGCCTGCTGCTTGGTCCTCATTCAGATGGGCTCACGCCCACTTTACCCACATGTATAGCCTCATGCCTTCTTTGCTCCGGGCATCTCTCCAAATGAAGTAAAGGCTGACATGCTGGTGAGTGGCCGCCAAAGGGCAATGCTGTGTACCTAGGAGAGGTCAGTCGTAGCAAGAGAAACTCACCTTCTGGAGCACTTCCTTGGGAAGGAGCACAAGGCCCTCCAGCTGTGTCCCCTTGGGAGATAAGGGACACCTTGATCTTTGGTCGCTTGGAGGTCTTACTGCCAGGAAGGGGACTCGAGGGATGGTGTCGCTTCAGCTGAACCCTAAGATCCTCTTTCTCTCCTTCCTCCGGTGGTTCTGATGAAATGGGAACTAAGAGATGGAGCTGAGTTCAGATCCTCCACAATCCAAAAAAGCCCAACAGACACTCAGTCAATACCAGCACCAACATAGCCATGTGTAAAACGCACAGGAGAACCACTCTACGTCCAGGGCTACCCCTCAAAGCAGACTGCCCATGCTTCAGGACAACTTCACTCAAGCACTGCCCGTGGGGGACCCCACTTTGCCCTTCTTAGAGGATGGCTCCCTTCTCATCCCTCATCCTGCACTGGAATCAGAAGGGAAGGGCCTGAGTTGGTAGGAATTAAAAGACAGAAGACACCCCGACCCTGCCTAGCCAAGGTCAATAGCAACAACAACAACAACAGAGGACTCAACACAGTAAGTCAACAGTCCTTCCCAGACTCAAAAAGTGTGATGATCATCTTCCTGTCTCAAGCCCTCCCCACATCATCACACAGTTGGGGACATTAAACATTCTATGAGAACTCATGGAGGAGCAGGTCATCCAGTTCTCTCTAAAAAGCAGAGTTTTCCAAAAGGCTCTTAAGAGTCCCACCCTACCCTAAGAGCCCAGGGTTGAGGATTCACTTGCCAAATGGAGGCAGTGAAGAGGACTGTCACCAGGACTGAAAGCTGGCTATGAGTAGCTACTAGGAGAGAGTACCTCAACCAGGCAACCTCACAGCTCCTGCCCAGAAGTAACAGGGCAACACTGGCCCATGTCACAACCTGGTCCCCAGGTCATGTGTACTAGCACAGACAAAGGCCATCTGTTCACACATGGGCTTCCACTTCCACTGAATCAAACAGGCTCATCATGTATACAGCCAAGCTTTTTGGACTCTTAGGTTATCTTTCAAGCTTCCTCAAAGATTCCCTCCTCTTTAAACCCAGAAGTCTACCCTAGTTCTCTTGTAGCATAGGGAAGCAAAGACTGGGGTGGGGAGGAAGGCAGCAGTCACATGGGGATGGAGGAGGGGTCCTGGCATGAGGTAACAGTCGGGACATAACCAGCTAGAAGGATTGCTTAGGGGACAAATGCATTGGCTAAAATCAGAGTAGGAAGGAGGGTGGAGGGGAAAGGAGTTTCAGGGTCTATGCTGATATGTGACTGGTGGGCTTGTAGCCACCAGATAAACACAGGACAAGAGGCAGGGAGAAAAACACACAAGGAAACTGAGACTCACAGGCAGTGCCACAGGCATACAAAAAAGCAGCAGAGCCAAGACCACAGTGAAAGAAAGAACCACACTAAGAGACAAAAAAGAAAATACCCTAAGAAGCAAACAAAAGAATGAAAAAAGGGCAAAGACTACAGAGTAAGCAACAGGGGTCAGCAAAACAAAAGAACACAAAGAAAAAGAGAAAAGAACAGGAGGAAACCAAACTGAGGCAGAAGAGAGGGAGAGATGGAAAATAAATAAGGGGTTGAGGAGCAGAATGCAGTGGACGAGCAGGCAAGAAAGAGTAATACTCACCAAAGAGACAGGAGGAGGTGCCAGGAGGAAGAGCTTTCCTCACCAGCATATTTTGTTTCAGAAAAGCAGCAAACTGTGCTGGAATGAATCAGAAAGAATTACAGAATCACAGCCAACCAGAGAAGGGAGAAAAAGAGAGGGAATAAGAAAAAAGGTTGTAGAAAATGGCCAATAGGGGCTCCTTCTGAAATTACTGCATGGCAACCTGACTCTGCCATGGAGTCGGTCTGTAGAAGCATCTAAACTGACTAGTACTACCTGCCTCATGGGGCTATGCCAAAACTCAACAAACTACAGCAATGTGAGTGCCATGAAGAAGGACTCCATGTATGTTCGCTATTAGTATTCCCTGTTTGCCCATCAGCTCTGCTAAGCCAGGGTTCTAAAGCTGCTACTCTCCCCCATGAAACCCTAGGTCCCCATTTCAAACCCAGCTTGCCAATCAGCCTTCCAAAGTCCTTAGATTCTCAACTAATCACCCTCTCCAGAAGCACAGCACATCACCAGCTCTGTCTTCATCAGAAGTGTAAAGACACACTGTCCACAAGGGACTTGGCTCTGGCCACCACTCATGAAGATCCATGGCACAGCATCCGCGCAGACCCTCAGGGCCTGGCCTCATTTCTCAACTCCTCCCATCCACTCATACTTTTCTACTCCTTGTTAGTACTACTCTTACAAGCAAACTCACAAGAGGTCTGAGTTTCGGTTCTGATCCTTTGGCTCCACTAAAAGAAACACAGGGAAAGTAAACAGATGAGCCTCCTATCCCCTCCACGTCTGTCTGCCAGACAGCCAGCTCTGGCTGCTGCCTCTTCCCAGGCACCCCTATTCCTGAGAAGCTCAGGTGACACATGCTCCTGGACACATCGTTAAACACCAATGCCCAAGAAGCCTTACATCAAGGCCACCCAACTGGATCAATGTGGGGGAAGGGGGACAGAGCACTGTTTCTTCTTTCCCCACCCAGTGAACTCTCCCTTTTCTATAGCTCCTTTCAGAGCACTTACAGCTCATCAAACTCTTACTTTTGACTATATGAATACTTTCCAGCCTCATCTGAAACCTGTCTGCAGAGAACCCTGACAAACTTCACTGAAAGTCTCAGTGTGAGAATCTTAACGCTTCAAGGGTCAAACAAAGAAAGGGCATGATGCCAGGTGAGTTGCCCTAGAATCTGATTAATAAAATCAATCACCCAATACTTATGATCAGAGAGCCCTGACCGGAGGAGTGGCTGGCAAGGTAGAAAAAAGTTTAGGCCAATATACGTGTTCATAAAGCCTGGCCTCCCCAGAACAGCAAGACAAAGCTGTAACTAGTGATCACAAAGCCCCACCCACTCAGAGGCCTTGCCATTCATTTCAATAATTAATTTTGAACTTTGCCTGCACAGAAATGTGAGAAAGGGTGCCTCCCATCCGCCTGGAAAAAGCCGTAGATATCAATACTGTGCAGCCGCCACGTGGCATGAACACTAGCAGACAGCCCCAGGAGGAGCCCCCGGCCGGGTGTCTATACCTTGAGCTTGTTTGTGGGTCAGCACAGCTTCTGTCCGCTGCACATGTCTCTTCAGCAGCTGAGAGCTTCCAATCTGACTGGACTTCTGGGCAGAGGTCACCGCAGTCACTTTGGTCTTGGGACTGGAGGTGGGGCTGCTGGACACACTGGAGAGATCCTGAGTAAGGTGAGAAGGCCAAGAGATGAGCCAATGTTATTAGGATCTGACCATGAGTCAGCACGTCCCTCTGGAATTCCCCTTGTAGGAACTCACAGGCCCATGGCACTAACAAGACAGAGGCATCCCCAGGAAGTTAAGGAACCAACTCTGTGGTGCTGATTCCCCAGCAAAAGTGCTCCCACTCTGCTCATACTACCTCTGAGCCTGAGGGTGAGGCGGGCAGCTTGGCAGCTGGGGAGGCAGGTCGACTGCCCCGCTCAGGGACTTCAAAGGCCAAGTCTCTGCGGGCCACATCGCGGGGCTTCTTCTTCTTCTCAGCATCCTGATCCCGAGGTTCAGAGCCCATGTGACCCTCAGCACGAGTGAGCACTCCGGTCAGAAAGTCCACAATCTCATCCTAGTGTAGAGAGGAGCCAACCAAGGCCTTTTAGTCTTCATCTGGAGAATGGGAACCTCTCAGATACTTACCAACTAAAAGAAATTCTCCCTCAGCTCTGGCATCTGGATGTGCCAGTCCTTCCCCACTCAAACAAGGCCTGGTGCAAATCCCAGGCTTCTGAGCAACTGTGGTTCGAGAAGACCAGCAAGTGCCTCTGTCAGGGGGAGCTCCGGGGTGGTCACACTCCACCACTTTTCCAACACTCTCCCTCCTGATACTTTGCTTACATTAATTCACCACTCTCATTTTTCTTTGCTTTGCTTATGACTGAGACCTACCAGAGGCCCCAGTGGAGGCCTTCAGAGCCAAAGAGGCCACTACTAATAAGACCAAACCTACAAGGCTACAGAAAGGCAAGCCTAGCTGAGAAAAGCACACAAAACAACTGTTTACCTGAATACATCTGTCCACCATGCTCTGAGTCAACCCTTCTGATTTCTTCTTTGCTTTGCTTATTCTAAGAAACAAAATGGATGACATGTTTACTTCTTAATTCCATGGCGTCCTATGAAAATAAGAAAGTATTTCTTTTCTGGGCTATTTTCTAGCCCCAGGAGGACCATGTTAGCCTTAAGTAATGCAACCTCTCCAAACCTGTTCCTATGTCTGCAAAATGGGGAATCATAACATCTCATTCATGAAGTTGTGGGGATTAAACAAAATAACATATGTAAAGAAACCAAGCACAGTGCCCAGGACAGTCCGCTCCAGAATTCCTGTACCTACAGCTTAATAGGTCAACTCTATCCAGAACCCGGGAGGCAGAGGTTGCAGTGAGCTGAGATTGCACCACTGCACTCCAGCCTAGGCGACAGAGCCAGGCGCCACCTCAAAAAACAAAAAACAAACAAACAAACAAAAAAGCTCAAGGTCGTGAAAGACAAAGATGGAGGAACTCTACCAAATTAAAGGAGACCGAGGAGACATGGCAACTAAATCCAAGTGTGATCCTGGGCTGGATGCTGGACCAGAAAAATGACATTAGGGAAACAACTGATGAAACGTGAGTCTGTAGATTATAGTGTCATGTCGATGTTAATTTCTTGATTTGGGCTATGTAAGATGTTTAACATTTAGAAATCAGGTGAAGGGTATATGGGAATTTTTTTGTACTAGTGTTATAACTTTTTATAAATCTGAAATTTCAAATATTAAAAAATATTTTTTTAATGCTGTCTTTTTTTTTTTTTTTTTTTTAGACAGAGTCTTGCACTGTTGCCCAGGCTGGCTGGAGCGCAGTGGTGTAATCTTGGCTCACTGCAAGCTCCTCCTCCCAGGTTCACGCCATTCTCCTGCCTCAGCCTCCCGAGAAGCTGGGACTACAGGCGACCACCACCATGCCTGGCTAATTTTTTGTATTTTTAGTAGAGACAGGGTTTCACCATGTTAGCCAGGATGGTCGTGATCTCCTTTCCGCCCACCTTGGCCTCCCAAAGTGCTGGGGTTACAGGCATGAGCCACCACGCCTGGCTAATGCTGTCTTTTAACTGAACCAGACTGGTCTGTAGTTACACTGCCAGCTTAGAGGCGTATCTCTAACACTGTAACACAGCTCTCTTGCAGCTCTAGGAGAATCTACCCACCTGAGATTGTCATCAGCTCCCCCAACCACCACCAAGCTGTTCTCAGCTCGAATCTTCTCCCGGAAGTCCTCCATGGCTTCAGGGTGACATTGAAGGGAATTTTGACCAATGACAAAGAGGACCGGAGTCTTCATATCCAAGAGGGGATCATCTACATCCTAAAACAGGTATAGGTTTTAGAATCGGCTTCTTCACATTCACAAAGCACCGACCCGGAAACTCCACTAAGGAGGATCAGCTGTGCAACTGCAGTCGGCCTCAGCATCAGCTTGGACAAGGTACGCATACTCACACTCCCGCTGCCAATGACCCAGCACTCAGCTTTATCACACTCTTACCCCTCTGGGGCCATCCACGGTAAGCAGAGGAAACCCAAGGCAGACAACTGCGGTGACATACTCCATCACTGACACCTGTAAATAACGGAACAGTTTGTCTAAAGGTCAATTGAGTTCATGGCACCTCAGCCGATCCAGAATCCAGGAGTGGTCCAGACCCACCAGAGAGTCTCACCTCTTCCTCCCCTGTCCTAATATCCGGGTGCATCTTCTGCCACAACGGCAGCAGTAAGAGCACAAGACACAAGGTATGTCATTCCATAAGCAGCCACTACCTAGAGAACTGGGGCCCCAAGAGGACCCCAGCAGGTGGCTGAACCATAGAATAGAAGGTTCAATATTCCTACCCTGTCAACTCCCTCAACTAGAGCCCTCCTGCTCCATTTTTCTCCACAAATAGTAAATATAGTCAAGAGAACACAATGTTGCCACTCACCCTTAAGTGAAAAAAAATTCTCTCTATTGAACTTAATGGATAGTTACCAGACAGCCTAGATTTCTTGGAGCAACTGCTAAGGCCCACCACCCTGGGAGCAGGACTATGGGGACCTTCCTCCTCTCATAGCTATCACTTGACTGGACTGCATGAAGCAAAATTAAGGCTTTGGACACCTGAGGGACACTTACACAAACTGACAGACATACAAATGTATGTAAAATATGAAAAGATTCCTTGATGTCTTGGAAAGGGACTGAAATGAACACAGCATCAAATTCCAGAGCTACTAATATTTGCCAGCTACAATTATTGTTGTTTTTTAGGTGGGAGAACAGTATGGTACTTATGTTTAGAGAAAAAAAGGGATCCTTTTATTTTTTCCACAGTTATATGCCAGTGTGTGTGTGTGCGTGTGTAAATGCTATGATATTTGGGATTTTTCTTCAAAACAATCTGGGGGAGAAAGAAAGTAAGTAGGGTGAGATAAAACAAGCCCAGCCAAGAGTTGATCACTGGTAAACCTGGGTGAGGATCCTGGGGGTTTATTATACTATACCTGCTTTTGTTTCTGCTTAAAGCTTTCCTAAATAAATTAAAAATTGTTTTAATAAAATTTGTCCTCTACAGTTTAAAATGTAATTACATAGGTAAAGTATCTAGCACAGAGCCTGAAACATAGTAAAGGACTCAATGGTAGCTATCATTAGTGGTATTCCATCCCAGAACAACCTCCAAATAAGATAGAAATTACTTACATGACAGGCCACCAAAGCTCCTGTGTTCCAGCCAATCAAGATAATGGGTTTGTGTGGGAAATGGCTGTGAATCTTCATGGGAAGAGAAAGAAGATAGTAAGACAGGAGGCCAAAGATGGGTGCAGAACAACCCCAGAATTCTGGGTATGCCACAGTGCACTGAAACAGGGGCGTTCTCACCTCCAGCACTTTGCTTCTCACTGCCCCAATCATATGCTCAAGACACTGTAGAACTCCTACCCCACTGCCATTGTTCAGCAGATGGGTGGCTACAGGGATGACCTGAAGGAAAGAAGTAGCCCCCACACCAGCAGAGATAAGTTTCAAATCTTTCAATTCTGTTTGACCTACCCCAAACTCTTTCAACCTTGGAATTCCACAAGAAAGAAGGGTTAGAGGAGGCTCCACATTCAAGTTATCCATTTTGACCTCCCTCCCACATATTCTTCTCCTCAATTCTCCAAGACTATATTCCCTGCCAGGAGGGAGTTCCTCCTGCCCCCACACATACCTTGCCTAAGCAGGAGAGCTGAGACTGCCAGAAGCGGTGGCGGCGTGAAGTGGGAAACACAGAGCTGGAGGGACCAGAGGAGGCGATGAGAATCAGTGGAGAGCCAGGGAGTTTGCTCTAAAGAGGAAGGATCCCACCCAAAAACCAGTGAGTGAGAAGTTTTCTTCCACGAAATTCCAAGTATCCCAATACCTTTCTCATCCCAACCAATGCTCCTTTGCTTGTGAAATATGTTAAGCACTATACAAAATAAATTACTAGTAATAGTTAAAGAAGCCGGTCAGTCGCACCGGCTCACACCTGCAATCCCAGCACTCTGGGAGGCCGAGGCAGGCGGATCACCTGAGGTTAGGAGTTTGAGACCAGCCTGGCCAACATGGTGAAATCCTGTCATTACTGAAAACACAAAAATTAGCCAGGCATGGTGGTGCAGGCCTGTAATCTCAGCTACTCAGGAAGCTGATGCAGGAGAATTGCCTGAACCTGGGAGGCAGAGGTTGCAATAAGCCAAGATCATGCCACTGCACTCTAGCCTGGGCAATAGAGCAAGATTCTGTCGCAAAAAATAATAACAACAAAAAATAGTTAAAGAAGCCATTTATCCTCCTGCCAAGGTTCTAAGGCTTGAGTCTAAAATTTGTATATGCCATTGTTAAGTCCTGAGCCATCCAACTTACTGGTTTGTTATGAGAAAGCACGCCCACAGCAGGGTCCCAAGGCCTCTTCAGTAGGAGAGACAAGGCCTCAGCTCCTGCAGCCCCAGTCTTCGTGTTGGATGACACAAGCATCCGGTCAATCAAGGTTGGGATCTACAAAGAAGGAAGAGCAAAGCTGATTCCAGTGTAAAGCAGGAGACCTGCCACCATCAGCAATCAAGCAGAAGAGCAGGGCCCCACTAGAAGCCAGACAGACTTCAACGAAGCCTCTAAAAACCTCCTCAGGAGCAGCAGTATATATAAATAAACGGGCGAAAAGTATGCTCCCACCATGAAAAGTGAATGGGTACAATCCTTTGGAAAGCAGTCTGGATATGTGGCAAGGGACTTAAATGTACTCCCATCCCTTTTCCAAATGTTTCTACTTCTGAGAACCTTTTCAAAGAAAACATATCAGAAACAAAAACACACACAAAAGGATAAGGAGAGTTATGCACAGAGACAAATCAACTACGAACAATAATAAAGTAAAAACAATTTAATATATGTATGTATACGTAAGGGAGTAGTTTAGTCAACTATCTACCTAATTGGATATTAACAATTATTTTCAAATATTTACAAGACTTTATTTATTTATTTATTGAGACAAAGTCTCGCTCTGTCACCCAGGCTAGAGTGCAGTGGCCTGATCTTGGCTCACTGCCACCTCTGCCTCCTGGGTTTAAGCGATTTCTTGTTTCTCAGCCTCCCAAGTAGCTGAGATTACAGGCGTGCACCACCATACCCAGTTAATTTTTTGTATTTCTAGTAGAGATGGAGTTTCACCTTATTGGTCAGGCTGGTCTTGAACTCCTGACCTCAAATGATCCACCCGCCTCAGCCTCCTAAAGTGCTAGAATTACAGGCGTCAGCCACTGAGCCCAGCTTTCAAATATTTACAAGAATACATAATAACATATAGCAATAATTTTGCCAAAATGTTGCAGGTAAAATAGAAAATATAAAAATTATCTCTACTCAAAGCTGGGCTCAGTGGCTCATGCCTGTAATCCCAGCACTTTTAGGAGCCAAGGTGGGCAGATCACTTGAGGTCAGGAGTTCGAGATAAGCCTGGCCAACATTGTGAAACCCTGTCTCCACTAAAAATACAAAAATTAGCCAGGCGTGGTGGCACACCAGTAATCCCAGCTACTCGGGAAGCTGAGGTACGAGAATCACTTGAACCCAGGAGGTGGAGGTTGTGGTGAGCTGAGGTCATGACACAGCACTCCGGCCTGGGCTGCAGAGTGAGACACTATCTCAAAAAAAAAAAAAAAGAAAAAAGAAAAAAATTCTCTCTACTCAGAAAAAAGACTATAAGAAAACATGCTGCACACCTGTAGTCCCAGCTGCTCAGGAGGCTGAGACAGAAGAATCACTTAAACCCAGGAGGCAGAGGTTGCAGTGAGCCAAGAGCGCGCCACTGCACTCCAGCCTGGGCAACAGAGGGAGACTGTCTCAAAAAAAAAAAAAGAAGCCAAAATGTTAATAATGATCTCTATAGAGTTTATGGGTGACTTTTTCCTTTACAGATTTCTATGTTCCCTAAATTTCCTCAATGAGTGTCAGTTGATTTTATAATTTTGTTTAATCTCCATTTTCTTCTAGAGTATTGCTTTCAAGCTGTGGTGTACTAAATAAACCTGTTATTATGTACAAAAATATATACCCTGCTATACTATGTACAGTGTACTTTATCTCATGTCTGTTTTTTACCATCTACCAGAAATGTAACATTACAGATGTGCAAATGTAAGTTTCAGACATGTTGATGCTTACACTGAGAAGAAATATCTGCGAATTCCATGCTACCCACAAAAGGTCAAAATGACCTAGGGGAAAGGAAAAATGTTTAAATATTAGAGGCAGTTTTCAGAAAAACAAAAAGGTTTTGAAAAATTGGAGAATAAAAAGTACTACGGTTTTGATGCAAGTTGTAAAACTCCAAAAATAGCAGAAGATAAGTTGCTCTTAATTTAAAAACAGAGAAACTAAATGGATTTCTATATGAGAAATTGGAGAATTATAACCATTAGACTCTCTCAGTTTAACTCAGGAAACAAATATTCGTGCAACTGCTTTTACAAGGCACGAGGCTAGTACTACAGAGGAATTTATTCTACAAGAGGTAATGAAGACAAACACCCAAATGGGAACAGGGAAAGACCGATAACTGCCATGAAAGAAACAGAAGCCCAAACTGCTATGATTCAAACCACCCAACAGAGAAGGAGAAGTTGAGGCAATTTTCATCTAAGATGCAGCATGTGAAATGAGACAGGCTCTTTGGAACAGGCAGGATTCCAACACAAGATGAGAGAAAAGCCTTCCAATCAGAGACACCAGCAAGAGGCAAGAACATGCAGAGCTTATTCCAGGCACATATGCACTAAAGTCAAGGATTCAAGCAAGGAAGGAGGAGGATGTAAAAAGCCAGTAGGAAGGATAAGACCAAACCGCAAAGGATCTTTCCGTTCTTTGTAACTCACTCTAGAACTGTGAGCCACTCAACACTTTGAGGCAAAGGATCTGACCCTGGGTTAAGCTTTTGTCTAGCAGCACTGTATAGCTATGACACCAAAGAGGCTTGAAACTTGCTTCCTGTCAACAAGGGATAATCAATAACTGAATTTTCCACTTGGAGCTGGGAAGACCAAGCTTCCCTGGTCTTTCCAGCACTGCATTCACTCTCAACAGCTGACTAAAAGGCTAAGGTCTGTGCCTTCTCTTTATCATAACGGATCTAATGGTGAAAGTAGCTGGGTGAAGAGCATGATTCCATCCACCCGCGCTTTCACATCCAGCAGGCACTTTACAAGTAAAACAATCTTATAATCATTTATATCCTTTGGGAAACCACCAAAGTATTTATTGTGAATCTAAATATAGTCATGGGAAAATAAGAGTCCGATGGCAGAGGAACCACTGTGGAGAGCACAGCCCAGAGAGGATGTTGCCTCAAGTCTGAGGCCCTTGCTCACTGGTGTACCAGCGAGCCTTCCACCATTCCAGCCAACCCACACCATGGCCCAGCAGCGTGGGAGGAAAGCACCCAACTATGCATGATGTGGAGTCCCCCCAGTGGTCTGCCAAGGTCATAGCAACTGACATTCACACAGGATATGTCCAGTCAGTAACTTAAATAGGGCAGCAGTACAAATTCCTCCTTAAAGGGAAATTATGCTAGCCATGGTGAGTGAGGCAGGGTCACCAGAGAACTGAGACCCTGGGCACTACCAACACTCATCTCCTACAGTGTATTCACCAATGTTACACTTTTACCATAGGTAGAATGCTGAGGAGAACATATGTGAAGAGGCCTACAATACTTCTGGGCCACCACTGTCTGGGCCCCATACTCTACCTGCCCACCACTCACCTCCCGGGTCCAGGGTTTCTACTATAGGGGAGCAGTATGGAGGAAAGTCTGGGACTCCCTTTTCATTTGTCTCTTTCTTCACTAGAAAATATACTCCACGGCCAGGTGCAGTGGTTCACGCCTGTAATCCCAGCACTTTGGGAGGTCGAGATGGGCGGATCACGAGGTCAGGAGATCGAGACCATCCTGGCTAACCTGGGGAATCCCTGTCTCTACTAAAAAATACAAAAAACTAGCCGGGCGAGGTGGCGGGCGCCTGTAGTCCCAGCTACTCGGGAGGCTGAGGCAGGAGAATGGCGTAA